GGCCTTATTTCAATTTAGTCCCTCATTTTACTTTTTTAGCAATATTTTTAATGAAATAGTATAGTAAAAGTTACATTCCTAGTGAAAGAATGAAATATTGTAATTACTCTCCACTAGCTTAGAAAATATAATTTTAATGCCACTTGTGACAACAGTCTAGATGGACCATATCTAAGTGTCATATTTACACATTAGTCTTGGAAAAAAGTAAATAGAAAAATTGTCCACAATTTATAATATTATGAGAAGTACTTGATCAACTTAACTAATATTCAGGGTGTTGCTACTCAATCTCTTGTTATATGCAAATAAATGTTGTTTAAAGCTTTAAACCCTGATTTGATTTAGCTAAAAATCAAATTTTTAGCAGATTTGATAAAAATGATATAATGTGTTGATGAAAAGTTGATAAAAGTTATGAATCTCATAAAATATAAGGTTGAAAATGAATTTCAATTACTCTCCACTAGCTTAGAAAATATAATTTTAATGCCACTTGTGACAACAGTCTAGATGGACCATATCTAAGTGTCATATTACACATTATTCTTGGAATAAGGTAAATAGAAAAATTGTCCACATTTTATAATTTGAGCAGTACTTGATCAACTTAACTAATATTTAGGGTGTTGCTACTCAATCTCTTGTTATATGCAAATAAATGTTGTTTAAAGCTTTAAACCCTGATTTGATTTAGCTAAAAATCAAATTTTTAGCAGATTTGATAAAAATGATATAATGTATTGATGAAAAGTTGATAAAAGTTATGAATCTCATAAAATATAAGGTTGAAAATGAATTTCAAAAAAAAAAAAAATTTAGAAAATGGAGATCAAACAAGAGTTTAATGTGATTGAAATTTTAACTTTTATGTCGAAACGTTAAAATCAAGTTGTACTGCACGTCAACTTTTTTTAGTGATAGATTAACTCAAGTAAATAATTCCCTTATTTCTCAAAAAACTAGGCATTAACTTACGTAAAGAATCGAAGCATTGAATCATGATCGAAATAATAATAATAAAAAAATCAATAAAATAAATTAATATAATTTTATTTTATTTTTTTTAAAGAAAACCAATTTGTTCCTGTAAACAACTTTAATATTTTGTGTTATTACATGAAATCAAACCAATTTTTAATTGATTTATTCTTATAACATTTGTACAAGACGTATGTTACAAATCACCTTGCATAATTACTAGAATTCGATCCAGTAATTGTTAGCCAATTGAGTGCGTACATAACATAATTAAATCAAATAATTCAAATATTACTTCTAAACAACAAACATAACCTTAATGTTTTCACATGACTCAGATATGAAAAGGTGATTAAATTATTAAAGACCATTAATTAATAGTTAAACATGAGTTTAAAATTGATTAATGCTAGCATTATGCATACGTCATGAGAGCGTGAGAGTGATGTCATCATATACCCCCACAAACAAGGACTGTGTGTGCAGCTATCATAAAATCTTTGAATAAAAAGTGATATTAAGTCCCTGTTTGGCTGATATTATTTGAAATTTTAATGGTTAGAATAATATTTTTGAAGATCGTGTGATTAAAAAAGAAAAAAAATCGGAATTACGTGTAATTTATGAAATAATATACACTTAATAAGAAGAGAGAAAAATGAATTACGATTTTAATGGGGCCAAACATAACACAAATAGAGTAGAAAAACTGGACCTAAAAAAATGTGGGTTGGTCTATGAATACATCAAACTTGGTACATAAAGGTGTCCCTTGTACCACAAGAATATTCCAAAAAGTGTGTAGATATTGGGACCATGGGAAGCCATGCGTGTGACCATTATACCACTAGGTACCCTGAGTGGAAAATATAGTACCAGAGAATGACACTGCACCTGTACTAAAATATATCGACGGGTTGTTCGATAAAATTTTTGATGAAAATTTTAATAAATTTTGATAAAAGTTAATAATTATATCGTTGAAAAGCTGATAAAAGTTAGGGATATCATGAAATGTGCAATTAAAAATTAATTATTAACTTCTACCACAATGTTCTAGCCAGTTTTTAAGCTATTGCAAACAAGAACTAATAGATTATGCTCGCGTGCTAGATATGTCAAATGGCCAAAGCACTTAGGCAACCCTAGTCATTATCAACACATTCCGAGATTTACCTCCTTTACAAAGCTCTAGGGGCGGGGCGGTGGTGGTCTTCAAGGTTGGGGTTCGACCTTTTTTTTAATTATAATTATGGTGTTAAAAGGCGTAATATAAAGTTAACTATGGTTAATGATAATTTGTTTTGCTTTTCTGAGCCAAGCATCTTAGAAACTGTGTAATTTCTGCTCATTAAAATCTTTACACTCTTAGCATCTTTCTTAACTTCTTTAAGAACTTCTTCTTTTACCGTAAATTCAAACCAAAATCATCCATCAAATATGAAAACTTATAATTAAAACTCAAGAATAAGTGATTCTCCATTTTTTTCTTTGCCAAATGGAATGAGCCTAAAAAAAAAAATAAAATAAAATAAAATATATATATATATATAGAGCTGATTAGTCTTACATTTTTCACATTTAACTTTACATTCTTTATCGAGTACCCTAAAGAAATTTATGATTTGATTTCACCGAGGCAATTAAGAAGATGAATGCTTCAAAAGTGGAAAAATTGAGCTACCCGAAATTAACGAAATGATTACAAGTCTCGGGGTGAAATCTTCCATGGAGTTCTTAAGCATCTTATGTAAAAGGTGCTGGCGTCCCAAAATATTTGTAGGGAGACGTGCACATGCACGCACGCACATATAAGTATGTACAAATGTCTCCCTTTAAAATATTCTTATATTCGTTTTCAATTACACATTCACAATTTAGATATTTTGCATATAAACTCAAAACTTTTCTCTATTCGATAACAACACATTCGTCAAAAAATTATTATTCCAAACATCATTTTTTTTTTCAATGATGACCGTCAAATGGAGGCTTAAAGGAGTTCCTAGAATAGATATTTTGCCTTTAAACCAACAAAAAGATATTAGAAACAAAGATGTTGAATTAGTTCATGAACAAAATTATTTTTTCGAATTTTATCTTCAGTACGTCTCTTTCCATACATATTCCATGATTATAAATGTTGTGAAATATCTTTTTCAGCAAAAAGAACACCTTCATACATTGGAACTCTTCTCATTTTCTGCAGGTTCTATTTAGCCAATGTTGTTAGTTCCATCTTCAAGAAATGCAGGTTTTGTAATCTTGTTACTTTAAACAGTTCCAATTCCACAAAGACTAGACAGTAAATGTAACCTATACATGCAACTGAAACCTAGGAAACTATTATATGTATAATGTATGTATATACAGATGCTTATTAATACAAGAACTGGGGTAGGGGTGGTGGGTGTGGTGTGGTGGGGTGGAGAATGTTCCAAGACACAATGATTACATGAGTCTTGGAGAAGCATAAAAGGGTTGGCGTGGAAAATAGGTATAGAGACGGAATAATATAGAAGAACGTGGTGGCTTGACCAAAGCTATATGGATAAGCTATCTTTTATCATCACACACACCAACCTGCTTTATTATTTGTCTTTGGTCTGTCGACAATCTGTATGCTTGTGTTCGCTGTGTTGAGATTGTGTCCCCCCCCCCCCCCCCCTTCCAATCTATTGATTTTAAACACATCGATCTTATCGCTGGCCAGATTTCTTCCATATAGAGGAGTGTCAAACTCCTTGTCAAGCTAGAATGTACATCTAACTTTATTCATGTTATATATGCAGTATTGTACGTATATACACAAAAAAATTCTATTCCAATAGATACAGAATTGGATAGCGAGAGAGAAATGAGAACTCCGTAAGAAGAATGGAAAGAAGACCGAGCTCTTATTTGGTAAGGACGAAAATTATATATTTACCAGATTTTAATAAAAATTAATAAAATATGTGGTTGAAAAATTATGAAAACCATAAAACATAATATTAAAATTAATTATTCTTTTACTTAGATTAAAATTTGAATTAAAATTTCTACTGAACAAGAGCTAACAATATTTGATGTTATTTAGCTCCATTGATATTATACCACTAGTCTTTATGATATTAAGTGTATTAAATTTTAAAAATACAATTAACACTTAATTTCACATTTACTTAAATATATCTCGTAAAAGGGTGCTCCAATACTATTGGTGCTAGAAATACAATTATTCAAATCTAATAGTTCATGTTTGATAGAGATTAAAATCAGATTTTTTAGTGGATTTTAATAAAAATTAATGAAATATGTGACTGAAAAGTTTTGAGTCTCAAAAATGTGTGGATAAAATTAGTTGTTGATTTAAAGATAGACATGGTTTTTTTTTTCGGATGTTTAAAAAGTATAGGTCACTTTTTTTTTATTGAAAGTATAAATATTTTTAAATTTTCTAATAATCCCTCATTTAATGTAACTTGTTATCAATAAATATAAATTAATCGTATTTAAATTATTATTTAATATATGAGTATAGTAGAAAAATATAGGAAAAATTTATATTTATATTTATATTAATTATATATTTTTTAATGTGTGTAAAATAGAAACAAACTTATATTCATGAAGGACTAAAAAGCGAGTTGAGATCTACCGTCCAAATTTGACTGTTCAACTTATTGACCGTCAATAATTCATTGATATATCATTTTACACTTATTTTTAGGCAATGGTAGAAGTGATAGAAAAATAGGACCTGTTAATTTAAAGCGATGTGTCAATTAATTATTGAATGGACTGCAAGTTTTGGACCGAAATTCTCAATTCTTAGAAAGCAAACTAACCAAAAAGATACCAACAAAGCTTATTTGAGACTAGGATAAGAGAGGTTCTTCACGCATTCACCTTCTTCACAAAGGCTGTGTCGGTGAAGAAGAATAAACTTTTTTACCAGGTTTAGAGAGAGAGAGAGAGAAGAATTGGGGTGACTAAAGAAACGCTATTTTGATCATATATCAAAAACAAAGGTCTGTCTTTACCTTCCATTTTTCTACCCTCTCTTGATATCCCTTTTTCCCCACAGGAAGTATAATCCAAGTTCTTGATCCTTTTTCTTTCATATATTCCCCCTTTTCATCCTTATGTGAAAGAAAGATGCTATGATTATCAAACAACCCTAAAGTTTTTTAATTCAAAACTTGTTTTATATATACACTGATTTCCGTATGTATATGTTTATATATTGAGGTAGGTGTGTGTGTATATACTTGTAATATAATCAAGAAAATTTTTCAGGGAGCAACTGAAATCAAGAACTCTACTATTATAACAGATGCAGCAACAAAATAGTACTGCTGATGCATATATGGGAGGAGGAGTTGGCGGGGGATCCACTTTGACTTTCCCTGAAGTATCCCAAACCCTGCCATGGAGTCTCCCTCCGGTTCACAACTTCAACCCGGTCCACTTCTCAACCCGTGACCATGATCCATTTCTTATCCATCCGGCACCGTCAGTACCCTATGGTGGTTTACTGAGAAGGCCTCCGGGTTTGCAATTCGGGTACGAGGGTCCATCAACAGACCACTTAAGACTCATTTCAGACTCCCTTGGGCAGGTGGTGCATGCCGGCTCCGCCAGCCCTTTTGGCCTTCAGGCGGAGCTGCAGAAAATGACTGCTCAAGAAATCATGGATGCTAAGGCACTCGCCGCCTCGAAAAGCCACAGTGAAGCTGAGAGAAGACGCAGAGAGAGAATCAATAACCATCTTGCTAAGCTGAGAAGCTTACTCCCAAGTACCGCCAAAGTAAGCATTATTTTATTCATAGATTCCATTGCAAAAACCATTACCATTTTGCAAGCACCTGCAGTATCTAAGCAAATGATCGATCACATTCACACTGACCTTAAAGTTTAACTTTTTTTTTTTTTTTAATTGACTTTTTGGAGTTCAAAGATCTCTGTAGATTATATTTCGGTGGGGAAAATGACAATTTTTATGTATTCATATAATTCTTTTGCTGGATTGTGATTCTTGGTGGTAGTTTCGAGGAAAGAAAAATGGTAATGAGTGTCGCTGAGCTGATACGATAAAGAGAAGCCATGAAACAGTTGAAAAGCTTCCTACGGAAAATTTTTGCGGGATTTGCAGTCAAAATTACCGAAGAGAGTAGAAAAGATTAAAAATAAAGACAGATAAACAAGCATTCTTGTCAGTAGTTGGGCTCGTTTATGCACTGTTAACCCATGCCATGTTTAGTCCCTCAAAACCCACCATTACGAACACATGAGTAACTAAAACTTTCTAGTTTGCATCATCAAACTAGCAATTCCTTCAAACACTATCTTAGTTTCTCACAATTCTTGGTTCATTTGCGATATGGACCGTCATCTGTAAAGCCCAAAATTCCGATTCAATGGATAATTTTACAGTCGATGAACCGTACAAAGGGAATTTTCTTGTGACTATTTCTATTTATGTAATTGTCTTGCTAGGAAATGTGATTCTTGCAGTGATCTAATATGGTATTCTAATTTTCATTTAATATTTTACAATTTTTAGACGGATAAAGCTTCACTGCTAGCAGAAGTAATCCTGCATGTGAAGGAGCTGAAGCGCCAAACTTCTATAATAGCAGAAACAAGGCCATTCCCAACTGAGGTCGATGAGTTAATAGTGGATGATGCATCGGATGAAGATGGTACATTTGTTATCAAAGCTTCAATCTGCTGTGAAGACAGACCTGATCTTTTGCCTGATCTTATCAAGACCCTAAAAGCACTAAGGTTAAGAACTCTCAAAGCTGAAATTACAACACTTGGAGGGCGCGTGAAGAATGTTTTGTTCATGACTGGGGAAGAAGATGAGCCGGCACAACAGCAACATTACTGTTTAAGCTCAATACAAGAAGCCCTTAAAGCAGTTATGGAGAAATCTAATGGAGATGAATCTGGTTCAGGGAATGTTAAGAGACAAAAAACCAATATCACTATATATCCTTGAATACAGGAGGTCACATTAAGATATAGTTACATGCTATAAATTAAACCTTAATTTAGTTCTCTCTTTTTTGAGTTTTTTGTATGATTTCTTGGTTGTGTGTGCATGTGTGTAGTTTGGTTTCTGGTTCTTAAAACAGCTTTAATAAAATATGTTTTGAGAAATTCATCATTTTGGTATGAAAGGGAATATGAAGTATAAAAATTCAAGAGAGAAAATAAGTGAGAGAGAACTGATGGGAGTGGAATGTGGTTGGTGCTTTGCAACTCCCCTTTTTTTTTTTT